AGCTGATTGCAATGTTTGAGGGTACTGATTTTTGTAACAAGACCGCCGAAGCAAGGGATGCAGAAGCAGAATCGCCTCCTTGGGAACAACATTTCGGCCATTTCTTCATTCAATTTTATATCTTTGTGAGAGAATTCAAGGCCTTCATTAGCCATATATGTATATATATATATGGGTGTGTGTGTGTGTGTAATTCTCTCAATCAGAGGAACAAAGAAATAGATTGATGTTTAAATTTCTCTGATAGGTCTCTGGTTTGTTCAAATTTCTCTGGTAGGTTTCTGGTTTGTTCAAATTTCCTTGGTAGTCCAAATTTCACTGGTAGGTCTTTGGTTTGTTCAAATTTCTCTGATTTGTTGTTGTCTAAATGTTTTATAGTTCAGAGAAAATTCGTCAAAATGAAAATGGTGGTTATTTAATTTTCTCTGGTTTGATCAACATACAGAAAATTATGAGCAAATCAGAGAAAATTAGTCAAAAGAGAAATTTGCTAGGAAGTCCAGAGAAATTCAAAAGAAATTTTCTAGATCGAATTTTCTCTGAATCGATGTTGAAGGGCCTTAGACAGTGTAAAAATATTGGGTGTCCTTTATGCTATAAAATTTTAATACCAAGGACCCTAAAAAAATTCCCCAAAAAATTATGTGGGAAAAAAAAATTAATGTTTGGTTTTCGTTTTCTAAAAACTGAGTTTTTTATTTTTTGTTTTTAGTAAATATTTTTAACATTTTAAACATTTTTTTATTTTTATTTTTTTAGATGCACATTACTTAGATATATTTAAAAGAAAATATTTGTGAACAAATATTTTAAAAAATTAATAAATACACAAAAATACGAAAAATATATTAAATTTTACTTTTTTTTTTGCATTTTTGGTATTTAGTGAATTTTTTTTAAAAAATCACGAAAATTAGAGTTTTTAAGTTTATTTATGTTAAATATGTCTAAAAATTTTAAAAATTACTTATAATATTAAAAAAAATTCAGTAAAAATACAAAAAATACATAAAATAAAAAAGTAGAATTTTTTGAAAAGTATTTTTAAAAAACTAAAAACAAAAATGGTGATTTTTTTTTTTTTGAAAAATTTGAAAAATTGAATTATTTTTTTGTGCAAAACTGAAAATTTTGTGTCTATAAAGGAACGTGATGATGAAACATTGACGTGTAAAACTGAAAAAAAAAAAACACTTTAAAAGTGAAAAAACTAATAACGTTCTCAGTTTTTAAATTAGAAAAAACTTTTAATGTTCTCAATTTTATTGAATAATTGAATTAAACCAATAAGTAGAAGGTCAAAAACGTTTAATCTCATGCTCTTTTTTTTCATCAGTTAGTGAAATATTTATTTGAAACATTACTATACAAAATTGATAATGTTCTTAGTTTTAAATTTAAAAAAAAAAAAAACTGACAATATTCTAAGTTTTACTAAATAAGATTTATTGGTTCAAAAAATCTTAAATAAGACTTAAGCTGCCATAATATTTGTAAATAAAACTTTTAAGTAATTAATTCTAAAAATTATCACATGACTCGGATCAATAATCATGACTGTGCTTTTCCATCGAAATATGTATCTAATATATCACTCTTGTTTGGGGGTGTTTGGTCGGACTTTTTTGAATCAACTTATAGCTTCTAACTTTTAAAAAGTTATTTTGGACTGTTTGGTTAAACTTATTTCAAACAATTTTTTATTCTAACAACTTATTTTAAGTCAAAAAAGCTGATTCTGAGAAGCTGTTCATCCCTTGCTTCTGATTATCAGCTTTTGCTGTGAACATGTTAATTCACGGTTATACTCTTAGATTTTTTTTTATTTTTTTTAAAATAGAAAAAAACCGAAATGGACTATAAAATATTATTATTATTTTTTATGAGAAATGTAGACAAATAGTGAATAATAAAAAACAAAGTTAATTGAAAAAGCTACTTCACAGCTTATTTAACAAACACTACTCAGCATCTTAAATCTATAATCCAACAGCTATACCAAATGATTAACAGCTTCTGATTAAAGTCATAATCTATAATCTGTTTTAACAGTAACACCAAACAAGACCTTTGGCACCACATTCTAACAGCTTACAAACTGCATTTTTCTATTTGTTTATGTTTGTCGTTTTTAGTAAATTTTTTTAAAAAAATTATGTCAGTAATTTCTAAACTAGAGATGCAAGTTTTACCAGTGCTTAATGTTAAGAATCTGATACCTTTTGACCATGTTTATTTAGGCGGACTGGATTAGATTAGATTATCATTTTCATGACTAATAGTCCTAGGATTACAAATCCCTACAAAGCACAGGTGCTCCAAAAATATTGTCGTACGAGTATCGGGTACTTACTGAGTGCGGGTACGCATATCGGTACGACAGCAAGCATATCGGGTACAACAAAAGGGGGTTCGGTACGTTTGGTTCAATCGGGTAGGACATGGGTACGCCGCTGGTACGTTTCTGGTACGCTGGGGCAAAAAATCAAATTTGTAAGAGAATAAGAGATACCGAAACAATTTATTTATGTTCTTTATTAAAAAAAAATAAAAAATAAAAAATACAGAGTTATTTTGTAATATTAAAAATATATATACACCTAGGTTTTGTTCCTTCTTTGAATCTCTTCACTTCAGCAACAGCAAAGAGAACGGCGCAGTTGACTTCTTCGTCTTCTTCTACAGCATCAGCAACATCTCTTCACTTCGAGGCCCTTTGGCGACGGCGACGCAACGAGACGAAGCCCTCCAGTGAATGTTCATCATCATCATCTTCTTCTTCTTCTTCTTCGTTTCTTCGTTTTTTCGATTTTTTTTTGCAAATCAACAAGTGGTCTTCCTTTTCTCTGTCCTTTTCTTCGTTTTCCCTCCGGTGAGTGTTCTTCATCGTTCTATTTATTTATTTATTTTGGTGCCCTTGCAGATCAACAATTTTGATGGATGAGATTATTGATCTGTATAAATGTGGAAGAGTATTTTTTTACAATCTGTCATTGAGTGTGTGCAAGTGACAATCTCTTCAATTAATTGATTGATACAAGGGCAATCTTTCAATTAATTGATACACAGATCTGTCATTAATTTAAATCACACCCTCTCAAGTGTAATTTAAATCACACCGTGCTGGTATAATAAATCACACCCTCTTCAATTACACAATCTCTCAATTAATTGATAGAATCTCTCCAATTTTCATAATTGATGAGTGTGTGCAATTGAGCATTTTATTATGAGTAATGCTAGAGACCATAAATATTTTACTAAAAATTTTACTAAATGTCTCACATGGGTGTGGGACCCACACAATATGGGTCCCATGTGGGTCCCACACCTATGTGAGACATTTGGTAAAACTTTTGGTAGAATTTTTGGGGCCTCTAGCATTTTTGTTCTTATAATACTAACTCAATTAAAACATAGGATATGATACACAATTCAAATAGAATCGTCTATGAAGCACGGGTGCGAATACGAGTACGGTACGGGTACGAGTGTGGATACGCCGATATGGCAACACTCAAAAAAAGTATGATATGGGTATGGTTGCGATATGTCGAAATAATTTTTTTTTTTTTTTATAATTATGGTTAAAGGTAGGGGTGTACACGGTCCGGATTGGTTCGGTTCTGAGAAAATCCAAGAACCGAACCGATCCTAACGGTTCTGTGATTTTGAGAACCAGACCAGACCGTTACACTTGTAAAACCGGACCAGAACCAAACCGAAAAAACGGTTCGGTTTCGGTTTGGTTTACGGTTCCAAAAATTTCTATTTACAAGAATAAATTGTTAATAGTAGCAAAATAATTACTTAAACTAATTACATTTAACTCTTGATAAAAACTAATAATATTAAGGCATTACTTAATATTACATATCTATACCATCCTAATATCATTAAAATTATAAAAAACCAATAAATAAAGATAAAACTTGATATTATATTTTATATATATATATATATCTTTCAAAATTCGGTTGGGTTCGGTTCGAACCGCGGTTTTTTCATAAAATCCATTAACCGAACCGTTTCTACGGTTCTCGTATTTCTTAATCCGAAACCGAACCAATTCTTAATGGAACCGAACCAAACCGTATGATTCCGTTTTATTCGGTCCGAATTGCCGATTTGAACGAATTTTTGAACAGGCCTAGTTAAAGGATCCAATCTAAATATATTTCAATTTAAAAATGCTAACACTAAAGGAAAAACAAATATTGGCTCTAAGAAGAAATGACAGATTGTAAATTAATTGAGAGATTGTAAAGTATGATAACTTGCACACGTATAAAAAAACAAAAATGCTAGAGGCCATAAAAATTCTATCAAAAGTTTTACCAAATGTCTCACATGGGTGTGGGACCCACATGGGACCCATATTGTGTGGGTCCCACACCCATGTAAGACATTTGGTAAAACTTTTAACAGAATATTTAGGGTCTTTAGCATTACTCTTATAAGAAATGACTAACAATACAGACTTTCACTTGTCTTTCAATTTATATCCCACCCTCTTATGTAGGATTAAATAGTCCATCATATATGAGATACCATATCCGGCGGATGGATTACTAGTGCGTACTTTAATTATTTAACCAAATATCACATTAATAATTTTATTAGACTATCAATCCAATCCCAAACTCATATCCACCCAATATGGCCTTCATTTATTGCATTTTCTAAGCCAAAGGTTCAGAGGTTTTAATCTGCATGCTTCATATCAAACTGCTTCCCAGGATACCAACCGACAAACATCAATATTGCATAAATTTATATTAGCATTCATGATTTCAGATCATTCCACGCAAGATTCTGATACCAATGATAACAAAAAGGCTAGAGAAAAGCATTACCTGGAGGTAAGCAGACGGATATGGTGTCGAAACTCCATTTTCCCTCTAAATTATAAAGCTTTTATGAATCATTAAGAATCCGATAACATAACAAAATAATAATCCAAAATAATCAAAATGCCTTAAATTCTAAAATTACCATAAGATCACAAAACTCTCAAATCACGACAGTTTTGATAAGTAAAATAAAAGACACAATGGTCAGAAGAAAATTTGGCACTATAATTATCCTCACAATATGCATATATACAGAACCATTAAAAAAACAAAAGAAAAAGTGCACATGGATTAACCCTGACATTGCAAATATTTTCACAATAGAGAAGTCTTAGAAGTATAGCAGCTACTCCACTAATGTTCATTTTTGTGTTCCTCTACTTATCTTCGTCCTTTCGCAACTTATGTTTGGCTTTCAAATTCATCATATCAAATTCACCTTAATTCGGCAAGCTCAATCTGGCAAATCTTAGAGCACCTTGGCAACATCAACACTTCTTTCCAAATGCCCACCTGCTTCTCCTCCCAATATAAACAAGCCCAACGGATTTTCACCGTTTTCAAAACCCGCGCAGTCTTTAAAAAATATTCTATCAGCTTGAGTTCATCTTTCTTCCCATTGAATCCCTCGATCTTGATTTTCTGAAGGTGCAATGATAAACAAACAGGAACAAATGCTGACATACATCTCTCAAATATTTCGTAGCACCCTTTATGATCCAAAAAACCCTAATGACAAATAAAATCACAAGTATTGAGTATTCTAATTAAATGACAAGTACAACGAAACACTAAATAAAATCACAAAATACCTCCATAAAGACAAGAATTTGAATATTTGGTGACCTTTCAAGCAAGTGTGGCAACAATTGCCACCCACTAGGATTCATAGTACCAAGCTTCAATTTGGTCAATTTATGAAAAGTAGGCATCGGGCGACAAGAATACTGAATGGCCTACATTGCAAGATCATACTAATCAATCACCAACCAACTACATGACATGCTTAAGTGAAGATTGAGGAAATAACTTTCAAATATTCTCAATAAAGACTTGAATAGTTTTTCAACACAAGCAAGAAAGATAAAGAAGCTCACCGACATGGAAACTTGCGATAAATACAGTAATTCCGCGTTAGAGCAAGCTGAAACAAACTCTGCTACATTTGAATCATAGAGCGGTACACCTTCTTCCAATTGCTCATCACTGAGTCCCACATCAATATGAGCTTTAAGAAGAGAGTTCATATTCTTCACAGTATACCCGTCTGCTACAAAATCATTGTAATGGAGTAATTCAAGTTTGGGCACATCAAGCACCAACTCAAATTGACTTTCATGGTGACAATTACGCATCATCAAAAGCTTAACAAGAGGTAAAGAGATGTGAAGAACCTCAATATCATCAAATTCAACACATTCCAGACTTAATTCTTCAAGAACAGGGCAACCAGCAAGAATCCTCTCCAAAGAATCACCATCAGCGAATTGAATAGAGTCGAAAAACAGACTCTTGAGATTGGGCAAACAAACAGAGCTCGGAACATTAAGAACATGGTGTTGACTCAATAACAAATGAACAAGCGTTGTACAAGAGAAAATACCACGAATCGAAACTCCACAGTTGGTTTTTTCGAAGAAGAGAGCGAGTTCTTGGACCTTGAGCTTCAAAACGATCGAGACCCATGAATCGATGTGGACATTGCCGTAGTCTTGGTGAGAATCGAGACAGAAATGGCGAATCTTGGGGACATCGCGAAGAGTGACAGACAATAGATGATACATGAAGCTGATGAAAGTGGCATTGAGGGTTAGTGGATCGGAATTGGGATGGAAGAGCAGGGTGTCGTTGATGACGAGACTGAGATTAGGGATTTGGTAGAAGAGGGGTTTCCATCGGGAGGATAGAATGGCGGTGCCGATGGCGAATTTGGTGGGGAGTTTTTGGAGGATTTGACAGAGAATCGAATCTGGCAAATCGCTGATCCTATCTTCTTCGTCTTCTTCTTCTCCGAGATTGTTGGCATCGTTATGGCCTAGGGTTTGTTCTGCAATTTGGGGTTTATCGAGAGGTTTGTGGCGCTTTGGCATTGAATGATCCATTACAACTTCAATTTTTCATGATCAAGGTGATGAAGATGATAATGATGAGGTGCGAAGCATAGAGAGATTTGAACCAAAAGCATAAGATGATGGGAGCCTGGGTTTTCCTCGTTTGAAATTACAATTTGCCCCTTTAAAGTATTGATATTTTTTCACTTTGCTCTTTGAGTTTTTTGTTTTTTTTTCTCTTAAGCTGCATTTGATTGAAAAATTTGATGAGAAAAATTATAAGAAAATAAAAAAAATTGATAGAATTCGAATTTCAAACTATATTTGGTTGAATTGAGAGTAGAGCTACAAACAAGTCTAGCCGAGCCGAGTTTTGTTGAGGTCGAGTTCAGCTCGTTTACTTATCGAGCTTGGTTATTGAGTTTGAGCTCGGCTTGATAAGGAACTGGATTCGAACTCGGCTCAGCTCGGCTCGTTAATATTAATGAAATCCGAGTTCAACTTGTCTCAATTTAACTCGGCTTGATAAATTTTTTTTACTAATATTATTTAAATAAAAATATTATTTATATTATTTAATATATTGATAATGTATTTATATTATTATTTATATATTTATACATTATTTAATATATGAATAATATATTTATTGCATAATTTAAATAAAGATAAATGAGCCGAGCTTATGTGAGTTCGAGTTCGACTCATTTACTAAAAGAGCCTAATATTTGAGCTCAAGTTTGGCTCGTTTAGTAAACGAACCAAACCGAGCCGAGTCGAACCTTTAACGAACTGAGCCAAGCTTGTTCATGAACAACTCGATTCAGTTGTAGCCTTAGTTGAGAGCCTAAATAAACAAAAAATAACGTTACATTTACTTTTCCTTTTTCATTTATCTAATCAAATTCTCTAATCAAATATAGACTTAAAGTATTAATATTATTTTTTTACAATAACTAGTGCCTTTTTTTTTTTAATCCCAAGAAGATATGTCAACATATAATTCAAGAAAAAATTACTTATAAATTCCATCTTGAGAAATAATGATCCATTTAGTCTCAACGATTTTCTTATACACTAATTAGTCTTATTAATTTTGGAAAGATAAACTTAATATATTATTTAAAAATTAGATTTACGATTATACTCTTACTTCTATTATGTTTCCTTATATTTTTTCTTTTGTGTTAAAAAGGTAAAGTATACAATTTATGAGAATCAAATTTGAGATTAATTTTTATATGGGAATCGTTTTTATTTAGAAAACATTTCAAAAGGAATATAAAAATGACTTGAAATATAGGATTCTTCAAACATTTCAAAAGAATGTAGGGTTCTTCAAACATTTCAAAATGAGTACAGAAACTCATTAGTAAGCTTTGAGCAAATGTATAATTTAATTGTAACACTCCAATGTAATACTTTAAAAAAAAAAAATGTTTAGTATACTTTTATCAAATGTAATACTCCAATATAACACTTAAAAAAAAACTCCTTAGTGTAACACTCTAATGTAATACAAAAAAAAAAAACCTCATTCGTGTACTTTTCTCAAACGTAACACTGCAAAAAAAAAAAAATGTGTGATTCTTCAAACCATTCCAAAAGGAATACAAAAATTTGTTAGTAAAGTTTTAGATACAAAAATTCGCTAGTAAGTTTTGGATAAATATATAATTTTCAAACTATGAGTGTCACATTTAGAAAAAGTATATTAAATTTTTTTTTAGTATTTTTGTGTGTATTAAATTGGAGTATATTATATTGAAGTGTTATATTTGAAATTACATTGATTGGAGTGTTACGTTTGAAAAAAGTACACTAAGGAGTTTTTTTTGAAGTGTTATCTTGTTATGTGAGCCTTTTTTTTTTTTTTACATTAGAGTGTTACTTTTGAAAAAAATATACTAGGGAGTTTTTTAGAGACGTACGTTGTTACGTTTGAGAAAAGTATTCGTGATGTGAAATTTGTTCCATAAGGACGGAAAAAACCCCTATAGTACGAATTGTCTAAATGTGTAATTTTAGATTTGAAGAAATCCACTTTTATCCGTAAAAAATTAAACACAAACATGTAAATGACTTTTATTTGTGTAATTTCTATTTTAATAGGACCTTGGGTTCATAAGAAAAAAAATGAAGACTAAATAGTTCACAAAATTATATTTTGAGATTTATTGATACTTCAGCCATAATTCAATGACTAGACATTAAAATAAGATTTTTTTTCCCCCCCAAATCAAACACACTTCAATGTGGATTAGAATGGCAAAGATTATCATAACAAAATCGGGAACAATGCTAAGCCTGAATAACACTTTTAGGGCCTCAGATCTTTGGAACCTAACTCTAGAAATCACCCTTCTGTGGTTAAACTTTTTTTCACATAACACTTTCATTTGTCATATTGTGGAAAATGGTTTTTTTTCATTTTTTTTTAATTTATGGTAAAAGAACACTTCATCAACTAAGCCACAATCCTGGCAGTCTTATGCAACCAGTTTCTTTGAAGCAACCAGTTTCTTTGAAATGAGCAATACATAAAAAAGCAAACCTGTAACCACCGAGAATCAATTTTTATCATTCACTTCAGCGACTCGAGTAATTAAATTCAAATGCTTTTCAGACTTGGTAAGCAAATCGGTATAAGATCATATTCATGTGAAGACACTCGAGGCATTAACTTCAATTCTTTCAGAGATATGCATAATACAGTGGTCCCATCGGATGTAAGATACTCAAAATCCTATTTGGCAAACAAAACACAGCAAATAAGAAGTCACACAAAAAGCTAACACTGCCAGAAGATCATCTCACTTTCATATCATAACAACAGTTGTGACATATACAATCCAAAAAGAGGCAATGATCAGAGGAACATCTGATGAAGTCAAACAGACTTACATGAATTAAACCAAGACATAAGGGAGAAAATAGAAAATATTTTCAAAATAGAGGGAGTCCGAAGAAGTATGACACAGGAAATCAACTTTTCCATCACATGAAAGGCTCCACAACTTGAAAGTTCTCTTGGTAATGTTAATGATAATTTCTTCAAAATGCTCGACATCTTCTATGATGTCAAAGAAGAACAAAAACTGATTTTCATCTTCTTCAAAACTTTCAGTGGTTAGAAAATACTTTACCAGCTTAGGTTCATCTTCCTCCCCCTCGAGCTTCTTTATCTTAATTTTTCAAAGGTGTAATGACAAACAAATAGGCACATACTCTGGCAGGCAGCACCCTTTATGTTCTAACAACCCCTATTGAGAAAAGAAATCGTTAGTACACCAGTCGAATGGCTTTCATCTCCTAAGTCCATTTCTTATCCCAAGGCAAATTTGGCTGAAGTTTTTAAGAAATGGAATCTCTCCAAGTTTAGCCCTCTTAGAAAAATATATGACTCCAGCCAAATTATATATATATATATATATATAAAGTCCTTTCCATGCAACAAAATCGTTATATTTTTCACTCTCTACTTCTCTTTTCTTTTATTCTTAAGCATACATTATGAGGATATTCAGAGAATTGATTGACATTCTTAAATGGAGGTAGGGAAGATTGACTTACAACTTCAAATAAGGAGATTAAGGCGACAAGTCATTGAACCCCTTGGATACACTGCTAATTGCCCACAAAAGCATTCATCTGAATATTGACAGTCGATTGTCATCTTCTTCAAAACTATAGCATTTTTCAGCAAATACTCTATCACTTCAAGCTCGCAATCATTCCCACTAAATTCTTTGAATTCAATTTTTTTGAGATGTAATAACAAACAACTGGGTACTTCTTGTGGTGGATTCCAAGATTTAGCTGTATTATTGTAGTAACTTCCCTAATGACAAGAAACAACTTAAAAGTTAGAAACTTTGAAACATTACTAACTTAAATCTTAAAATAAATCTCACATACCTTAAGAATAAGAACTTCAAGATTAGGCGAGCACCGAAGAAAGTCTGCTAACAATTTCAAATTCCAGTTAGAGTTGATAGCAGCACCAAAGTTCAATTGGGTCAAATTATGGAAGGTAGGCAGCACATAATCATTGGCATCAGTCTGGCACTGCATAGGAGTCAAATAAAGATAACAATATTTTAGCTAGAATATTATGAAATAATAGGTTACTCATCTCAACATATTGTTGTGGAGGTGCACTAAAATTTCTGCACCAGCACGGCAGCTCTCTAAGGACTTATCTATTCCTTAACACAACCCACAATCTTAATCATAAAGAAGGATTTTACTTTGGTTTCATGTTAGTTTTCCATGAAACCTTCTCTGTTACCCAGGCATAAAACCATTGGGAAATTGATAAGGCAGCATGGTACAATCAATCAAAATCATTAAGGATCAGAGAAGCATGAAAATGAGTACTTCGATTATTGCAATTATCCATCAAAAACATAATAAACATCACACCTGATGAGTAAAGAAACTTACGGACAAATATGCATCAAGAAGCTTAACACTTGAAGTCCCACTAAGAAGCTTATATATGTGAAAAGCATCGCCACTGTTATTATTGGATCCATAGAAAGGTGGTCCAACACAAAAAGATGCTTCAGATAAGGATGATAGATTCCTGAACAAGAACTCATTTGACACATTATCCCTGAGATAAAAGCGTTCAAGTTGGGGAGCATCTACCACAAGTTTGTAAACTAGATCATCAGATTCATCGAGAACAAAATATTCTCTGTACCAAACTACTTTCAAACGTTTCAACGTAGACACAGAAACACTTACAACCTGTTGCTTATCCAGAATGCACCTCTCTAAATTCAATTGTTCAAGAACTGGGCAACCAGAGAAAAGCTTTTGCAATGAGTCTTCATCTTCATATTCAACCGAATCTAGGTTAAGGATCTTAAGATTGGGAAGCCGCACTAAATCAGGAACATCTAAGAAAACCTCACAAAGTGTCAGAGTCACTAATGTTTTGCTAGTGAAAAGACAATCTGGCAACATAACATTATTCTCAATCAAGTTTTGGAGCTCCAAGTCTTGAACGTTACGTATAATTGCAGCTGAGATCCATGTATCGACAAGATCAAAATCAAGATCAAGGTCAGGAACATCAAGTGAATCAATCCTGAGAATGAATTTTCGTAAATATGGTGCATCGTTGAATCGCATTAATACTCTACTAACAAAGTACACAAACATCACATTAACTTGTTTCCTTCTATCTTCACTCAATAGAGAATATTCGTGGAAGAGTTGAGACTCATCAAAATCAAGGTTTGGGACAAAAGTCCAGAGGTATTGCCATCTTGTAGATAGAATGCTGGTTCCAACTGCATATTTGGTTGAAAGGAATGAAAGAATGTGACACAGAAGGGCGTCTGGCAAATTGCTGATCCTGTCCATGCTCTTCCCAATGTCTGGATCCATTATTACTTCACCAATGCTTTTCCTGTGGGTGTTAGTTTTTGACCTCACAGCCAAACTAGATCTTTTTTTCCTGTGAGTGTTGATTTTTGACCTCACTTAACAACAAACACCATTTGGTGGCTCATCCACCCGGGAAACCGACGGGAAACCAAACTAGATCTCCTATTCCTGTGAGTGTTGATTTTTGACCTAACAACCCAACTAGATCTCCTTAACAACAAACACCATTTGGTGGCTCATCCACCCGGGAAACCGACGGGAAACCAAACTAGATCTCCTCTTCCTGTGAGTGTTGATTTTTGACCTCACAACCAAACTAGATCTCCTTGACAACAAACACCACCATTCGGTGGCTCATCCACCCAGAACACTCCGACGATCAATCAACTTATCTCTCCAAGATAACAACTCAAGTAACACTTGGCGTATCTTAGACCCACAGGGTGTCCTTTTTATATAATGATCAGTATTCTACTTTCCCTAGAAGTCTTACTTCATGGAACTTTATCCTTTGTAAGCATATCATTTATCCAAGACTTCTCTTATTTAGATTAGGATCAACTCTCCTAAGAGTCCAAACCTTACCCAAATAAGAAGTCCCTAAACATATGTCCCCACATTTCCTGAAATACAACATGTACTTCTAAATCAAGCTCTTTTCCACTTGTACTTGCAAAACCACATCACCATTACATAGCAGTTGGAAATAAATAACATAATTTAACTATTTCACCACAGTATCAGCACCTCCTCTCAAACAACAGAAATCTTATATACCGAGATAAATAAATAAAATAAAATTAATAATAATAAAAAAAATTCTATTATAACACAATTTGGATTCCCAAAAATGTTCGTACAATTGCTAACTAAATTAATCAACATGTTCATGAATTTAATTTTAGGGTGGTTTGGGCTATCATCAATCTGATCCATATTTTAAATTCTGTGCACTTTTGGGGCATTTTTGTCTATAGTTACTCAAATAATCATATTTCAAAACCAACATTATTATTGTTTTGTGACAAATTATAAATGAAATAACAGGAAAGCAGAACTGCGAATGTCTTAGCAATAATTTTTAATTTATTGAACCTCGGTGAAACGAAGGCTTCCCTTCATCATTGTCTCATCTCAGTTGAAGTAAAACATTCGAAATTCAAAGTTTCATTTTTATTTCCCTGGCGGATTCTCGGACAGAAACGAAATTCAAAGAGAGAAGAATAGTACAGAAACGAAAGAAACGAACCTGGCTAGTGAGGAGATTTAGGGTTAGGGTTTAACTCGATTGACATGAACAAAGCTTCGCTCCGGGATGGTCTAGTCCATGATTCTGCATTGGCCAACGTGGTACATTGAAAAATTACAGGGGTCCCAACTTTATTTTTATTTTCTTACGAGTTACTTATGCCAAATTTATGTCTTCTTTGTCATGTATTAAAAAAAAAAAAAAAAAAAAAAAAAAAAAAAAAAAAAAAAAAAAAAAAGAGTCCTATTCTATTTAAGTCATATCATTTTATTTAAGTCACATTACTTCTCTACCACATCACTTCAAATTCAACCCAAACTCAACTTATATTTCATAAAAAATCAAAAATTTATAACATCCCAAACCACCCCTAAATATCATTTTACTCATCAACTATCAACTATGAATTCATATATATTTATCTTTTTAATTATAGAAATTCTATAAATTTATTTTTTTTGTAATTGAAGAGTGGAATTTATACATTTTTATAATTGCGGGAGTCAAAATATAAGCAATATTCGATAATAGTTGAAAGTGTTTTAATGTAAAGCCATCTCAAATCCTTTATTAAATCTGTCATCAAATTCAAATTTAATGAAATTTTTTTAAAATGTCAATTTCAACCCTTTCATCAAATTGATATTAAATAGAAAGAGAGTTACTTTTTTCATCAAATCAAAGAAGCTTTATCCTTTTATCAAATTTGTAGGTGATCATTGGGCTGGACATTAGTCCGGACGTCCATTGGAACAATTGATTTTGGAATGAATTTGATGAAAATTTGGGCTGAACGATTGTCCAAATTTAATGAAAATTATTGGAGTGCATCATGTCAGATCAAACTTTCATTAAATTAAAATTTAATGAAAAATTTAAAAAAACGTTGGAGATATTCTAAATAAACTCTATTAATATAAGAAGACTTATTGGCCTTGTTTGATTTCTCTCTTGAGAGACAATTTTTGAGAAAAAAAATTAAAAAATTTGTTTGATAGAAAATTTTTGGAAAAAAAATTCAAAATCAATTTTTTCTCTAGTACACATCAATTCATTACTCTTTCTTTCTCCTCTCTTCTTCTCTCACATCTTATATATCAATCAATAAATTTTCTTTCACACTCATCTATTCAACTACTAAAAACAAAATTAATAACTCAAACTCCAAAATTCTAAAACTATTTCCATAAACATACAACCAAACAAAATTTTAAATTTTATAATCTCTTTTCAAAAAATTATTTTTTAAAATTATTTCATAAATACAAACCAAATATAGCCATCATTTTTAAAAGATAACATGACTTATCAATGTTAAAGACCCTAAAATTTCTACAAAATGTAAGTTCCACTGTGAGACATTTTGTTAAAAATTTTGATAAAGTTTTTAAAATTTTTAGCATTTTTGGGCTGATGTGAAGGATTGGTATATTTTGTAATTTTTCACAACTTGTGTACGTGAAGCTAAAAATTGTGAGTGATAACGAATTACTTTTGTTGGCATAGATAGGAGCAAAATAATAATCGAGACTAGAAGCCCGATTGAAAAGAGTCCATTTTAGTTTTAAAAAAATATAAAAAATAATTAAAAAATCAATACAGTCAAACAAAATTGTGTTAATTTTACTTTATCTCCTTATAATTTATTAGAAAAATACATTACCTCTCTAACATTTAAAAATAAACACATAAACTCCATGTGGTTTGGAGTAAAATTCAAACTTAAACTCCATCAATGATTTTTTTTTAAAAGTCAATTTTATTCTTAATTTCTCATCTAATTTTATTTTCTATGTCACTACTACCATTACTCTCTTTCTGGAATCAAACAACTCAACCATTAGTTGCAACACCGCAACCACTTCCGCACAACTTAGTCCCCCCAAACACCGTTTTTGCTTCTTACCCAAGATAGTCAATCCATGGCTGAATAAGCCCTCCCAAATAGCTGCCATCACTGGTGATCCTAACAAGAGATTGGAAAGAAAATTACAAATTCAGAAACCTAATTCTTATTACAACTTGATAGCTAAGACAATATATGAGGTGAGGAAAATGTGGCCACCATTGCTTTCACTCTGACAAATTAATTCCCTTGAATTTTTAAAATTTTGTTTTATTAGCATTAATTCTCTTAAATTGATGTATGCATTCACATGTTCACCACTGTTATTATATTAATATAATGTTAATATAATATGTTAATATATTATAGTATGTATAAGGGGTTATTTGGAGTGTCCTAAATAAGTGCACTTTCTGTCTTTTGGACTAAAAAATTGAGAAAAAAAATATGGATGTTTGGGTTAACTTTTTGACTTTTCATGAAAAAATGTGTATTAAAAAATTATATAAATTAGTGTGTAGGGCAGGGAAAAATTAAGATTGTGAGTTGTGCAGTCGTAATTTTTGACTTTTGGTGAATAGTGATAATTTTTTAACTTTTTGAGTAACTTTTTGACTTTTTGGCAGCTTGCCAAACTTGGCCTAATATAATTGTCATACAGCTAGCTAGATAGGATTCCTTTTCTTTGTCCATGCTTTCGGTCGCCCGTCTTCTTTCGACTTCCTTTTCATTATTATATTGAATTGTATCATAATGATGTTTTGTAACACAACTCCTATATAATAGAGCCTCTATTTGGTTTCTGAATATAGATTGAACAACTGAGTTTATTCTTTCAAATATCACTCTTTCTTTCAATATCACTCTCTCAACTTATTTTACATGGTATCAGAGCACAGGTGTTTTTTCCTAGTCTCTTCTTCCGCTGCTTTTGCTTGGCAGATTGCTGCGTATCTCGTCCTTATCTAATTTACAGATTGGACAACACCAGCACCTTCGTCTCTTCACAACGAAGCCAACGCCACCAGATTCATCATCATCCGACGTTTCACGCGCCTCCAGAACATTAGGCCACGCGTTTCCTCGTTATTAGACGCGCTCTATGCGCCTCCTCCACTGTCCGGTGCTATTGTGCGCCACGGCCTCCTCTGCTAACGAGAGCCGTGTGTTTCTGACGTCAGCCGACGTCAGCCCTGGCTGCTTCCGTGCGCCGCTTGTTCTCCCCTGCTAATGTACGCCGTGCACCTCTATGCTAACGTGCGCCGCGCCTGTGACATCATCCCTATAGCAGTGACATCATCCTTGTTTGACTAGATTCATTGACCCGAACAGTCAACTCACTTTGACTAATCAATTTACTGCCTTTCTGGTAATATTTTTGGTCCGTTCACTCATTTTCCTACTGATTTCGTCCACCTGAATTCACTGGTAACCTCGGATTTTTCAAATTCTACCTCGATTGTGCTATTTTTCTCTCATGGATCGCCCGGACTCCTCTAACCACCCTATTTCCGTTGTTCTTGACGGGACTAATTATGTCCTATGGGCACAAGCCATGTCTGGCTTCCTCAAAGGAAAGAAACTTTGGTGCATCATCACTGGGGATATGTGCAAACCCTTCCAAGGGACCACGGAATCTGCTGCCACGGACTCCGCTGCCAAATATGTCGACCGACTGGAAGATTAGGATAGTAAAAACTATCAGATCATCACTTGGCTTCGCAATACTTATATTACATCTATCAGCCTTCAGTTTGGTCGGTTCCAACTTGACTCTGCTTCCTCTCCCGCCAAGGCCATCTGGGATTTTTTACAAGAACGCTATCAGACTACTGGCCTTGCTCACCAATATCAGCTTCTGAGTCATCTTCACCGTATGCGCCAAGAAACCACTCAGACCATTAATGATTTCCTCTCCCAAATGTATTATGTTTGGGATCAGCTCGCTCTTTCTGAACCTCCATGGCCTCATACTGAAGATGCTGCCTTGTTTACTACTTACCGTGACCAACAGCTCTTGGTTCAGTTTCTCATAGCTCTCACTCCCCGTTTTGAGCCAGTACGCGCATCTCTCCTTCATCGCACTCCTTTATCCACTCTTGAGCAAGCAATTTCTAAACTCCTGTAAGAGGAAACCAGGTTTGGTACTCTCTATCCGCACCCTGTGGACTCTGTTCTTGCCACTCCCCAGATTCGGAGTTCTCCTTCACCACCTTCACCACAGAGGTCAACTGCCTGCAATTACTGTCACAACCACAGTCTTCCGTCGACTCATCTTCTGGTTAATTGTCCAGTTCATCTTTGTCGGTTTTACAACAAGACTGGCCCTGGTCATCTCCAGCAAAATTGCTTCCGCAATCCCGCCCGTGCCTCTCACAATGGTCCTTCCACTGGGAATTTTTCTCGCAGCCACTCTCACCGTTCTGGGACTCCATTTAAACCAATGCATGCTCAACGCACTGTTGCTGCTGCCT